CAGGGGGGGAGGGGGGAAATGTTGGGAGCAAAGGCCAAGTTTTTGGGGGAGGAAAGGAAGCCCCCCCGGGAGCATTCCCTTCCCCTTTTTCCTTGGCCGCCGCGGTGGAAAAAGCGGAAGGGACACCCAGCCCCGGAAATCAAAAAAGAGGGGGGGGAGTAGCGCTCATTCCCCAGCAGCAGGGGTAGCTAGTCTCCAAGACCCAGAACCATCCCGGGGGCCCTAACGGTCATGGTTTCCCCCCCCGAAACCGAAGGGGCACCCCCACCACCACCCCCAGGAGGGGCACCCGGCCCCCGAAATTCAGGGCCAGGGGGGGGGGGGGGGGGGGTACTCATAGTCGTGCATGCCGTAGTCGTGAGACCATTGACCTCGCATCCCTACAAAGCCGGGACGGAGCACGCCAGGTTCTCACCGGACCAGGCTCTGAGGCAGGGGGGGGCGAAACTAACAGTCGCGGTGCTTGGTGAAGGCGCGCAACGTGCGGGTCACTTCCGAGAATATTTTTTTGCTTTGTCGGATACCGAGGCTATGACGCCCTCTTGTTCTCTCTGGGGGCACACTTCAGCAGCTAGTCACTTATCGCAATACATTTTTTTCGTGTTGTACCGTAGATTTCGACCGAACACCTGTCTTTGTGAAGTTTTTTCGTCTGTTTCTTTTTGAGCCCGGGTTTGGTAACTCCCAGGTTCTTTCAGTAGACTACGGGTGGTGTGGTGTGGCGGCCGGCGTTGGGTACTGTATTGAGTAGAGTTGTTGCCGGAAAAGGCGACGCAACGCTGCTGTTTGTGTGTCTCTGTATTTTTAGCATCGGCCACGCTAGCAGGCTGGCCAATGTATGAGTGCGGGGGTCTCACTACTGTAGCAGCCATCACGCGGGCTAGCCGGCCGACGCAATGGGAAGGACGCCGGGTTTTCTGTATTCAGCGGGACGAATAGCCGCGAACACCAGTAGTGGTCAGTGTGCGTGTTTTTGCCTTAGGCGTTTTCTTTGTTTTGTTGTGAAGAGTATCTCGTGCAAAGTGTTGTATATGCATCACACTCCTTGACCGCTCGATGTCAAGTATCGTCAACGGCCTTTTTGGCGCGTATCCGGCAGCCGAACAACGGCCTAAAGAGTATGAATTCTCGGTAGATTTTTGTCCAGGCGCATTCGGTGCTAATCTTATTTGTTCCAGTGTACACAAGCCACTATTTTGCATGTCTCATTTTCGATTTCATTTGTTTTGGCCCACAACCGCGTAGACGATATACAAGTAGTACCAGTGTGTCGTGACGTCGTTTTTATTAGTATATAGCAGCACGATGATGCATGCTCGTATCTGCCCACCTCCTGGATCGCTCTTCGTCTTTTTGTGACTTTCTGTCATGCACGCCCCACACGCGCGTCCTTGCATGTTCTCCGCGTACTTTTGGTCCCAGGTATCTGCTCGTATAGTTCATTGGGTTTCGGTAAAATGGAGGTGATGATCACGCACAGTTCCGCGAGATAAATGTTTCCGAGTACGGGCATCATTCACGGTACATGGTTGCGAAGGGACGGTTCAAATAGATTTTTTGGAACTGCGAGGACGCGGAGCAATAGATACTTTTTTTTTTCGCGGGCTTGGTAGGGAAAACGGCTGGATTCGTCGCGCCAGGACAATAATTAATTTCTTGGTAGAATGAATCCGTGTATTCGTTGGGCGCGTCCGATATTTTACCGTTTATGTCCGTATTGGCTTTGATCTGCAGGTTGCGCTGAAGAACGCGGGGCTTGAAGAAGATACATGTGTGCTGTGGTTCGATGGAAAAATGAAATCGTTCTTTTGCGTCTCGTGGAGAGCTCAACACGACACATGCGAAGCGACGCAAGCGGGTTTACACCCTACGTCCTGCTCTGCAACAGAGTTCATCGCCCAACGCACAACTGAACCCTAACGTGCACGAGCCTCTCTTACTGGTCGTTTACTTGGGGAAAACACCACGCACGTGCCGACGCTGCCTTCGTGGACGCGTGCGTGGGAAATCGTATCGAAATCTTTTTTTTTTTCCAGACGAGCCTGTGTAGACGAGGGCAGTACTCCGTTGCTGGTTCCGTCATCGCGACGCAAAAATAACGAAACCAGAGCCGGTAGACTGAATGCCTCTCTCTCTAAAGCATCTCGTTCTGGTAATGCCACCCGTCTTCAATACTTTCGGTGCTGGGAGAGCGATTGGACGTTCAGGAGGGGTGACGATGAACCTGTGACGAGTAAATCGCAGCTGTTCAGTTGCTTCACTCGTACGTGTGACGAAAAACATAAAAAACAAAAAATGGGGTGCCCACAACGCAACGTCTAAACGCGTCTCCCGACGAACGTTATGAGCAGATGTTTGAATGTACGCAGGTGCTTTGATCGTTTCCTGGCATGCATCCCCCAACCCTCTCCCATCGAATGAAAGCTAGGAGCTGCAACACGATTCACGGGGGATTGCAACACTGCCAATCTCGAAATTCACAATTTCACAAATATCGCGCTTCTGTTTGCTCCCTACGACAGACCGACCGTCGTCCTACAAAGTTGGCAGTACCTTCGGTGGCCCGACCAAGAAAGTAATCAAGAACGTCGTTCTGAAATATTTGCAGGGAGTCCACCCATGGACTCTTCCCACACACTAGGCATATTGGAGCTGCGAATACACACCATTTGATCAACGGAGCTAGCTAAACTACATTTTGAGGACACGTTGTTCCACTCTGAACCCCTCGCGGCCTTCGTTATACCCCAGCGTACGCACGCCGTCTGTCAAATTCACGGTGAGATGGAGCTTTTGATTCATGGGTCCAAGTCGCTAGGAGTGTACAACCGTTGGCCACAGCCTCAACCTTCCAAGACTATTGGAAGCGATCGCGTCCACAGAGGATATCATCAAGTGAAGTGAATCCTACACTGCCTGGCTGTTCAAGTCATCCCTGAGAGCAGTGCACAAGCAGCTGGCGTACAGTCGCATTTTCCCTTGAACAGTGAGGGGAGTGAAACCATTTGGTGTAGGCACCGGACAGAATAATGTCAGCATAGCAAAGTTCGTGTTGCAAAACTCACAGGATACGATTAACGTATCGGACATCACCGAGGGGGGGCTATGTCACACTCTTAGACAGATAGACTGATGCGCTTGTCAGCCCCGTACATGCCGCAATGGTTTTGGTTCACTATCAGAGCCGTGACCACTGGCGGACGTCGGCCGGCGTCTCATTCATTCATCCATCCATCGAGGACAGATCTCGGGTGCATGGCCGTCCAATAACCCATGTCCATTCGGAACGTCGCCAACCGACGAAAAACGTGATGGCTACAGAGTGATCTGATGGCCTGGGATCGTCCGGTTCTGCGAAGTGTGTGGCTGCCGAGCGTATGGGCAGAACCGTCTTCGACGTAGATGAAGAAATGATCTGCGTTCAACCCGCCGGCGTCTTGACACGACAACAACTTGCCCACGCGCCCAAGGAAAGAGCGCCGGTTGCACAGAACCTGAAACACTACAAGTTTTGAATGCACGTCATCTCCCCCGGGCCCGGGCCCAAGCGAGAGAGCGAGAACGCGGTTGTCAGGTCGCTCTTCTGAGAGTCGGAAAGAGAGATTCAGAATGTTAGGATGGGAGTTACGCCGTCCGGCTTCATCGTATGATGGGAAGTAGATGCGGCAAGTCTTGCCCCCAGGAAAGCCCTTTCGGCAACCGTGATTGCCCGGAGGAAAAAGTAGTTTTCTTACTTGTCGCTGTTGCCTTCAAATAACAAACTATTCGGGTCTACTCCGATCCCTCCCTCCTCCCCCACTTTTTTCCGCACAATATTCACAATGTATTTTACCTCCGTGCCGGCTGACGCCAACGCCTTCCGTCGCAGGCCAACTACCCGAACAGGTACACACTTCACCAAAAACACGTCCCAACGCGATAACAAGGCACAAAACAATATTGCCTCAGAAAGAACGGCGCCAGCCAGGCAACAAATCAGTCGTCGCTGGTGACATACATGTCCGGTGCAAGAAGAAGAAAAACAAAATGGAACCGTTTTTTTGAGTCCATCGTTCCCGCTTGGCAGGCGATGCCCAACAGTAAACCCCAGACAGGTGTAGAATCAAAGATCTTGCGACAGAAAACCTCGTTCTTTCGGCCTCCGCATGAACACTACGTACGTTGATTTTCGTTCCCATACACATACAATCTGGCAGACCAGACTACCGTTGCGGTCACAGACAAGATGATACCCCGCACACATTCAACGGGTGCAGGCAACGGGGCTCCGGGCCCTACACATACAATGGAATATGCGCCGTGTTTCGTGTGCAAGGTGGCTCCGAAGCTCCATATCTACTGTACATCCAACTCAGCAGCCTTCCTATTCCGGTCATACTCGTCAAAGCCCATCAAGGGCAATGGAGTTCCACGAGAAGACTTGGCAACGCATGAAATGTGTCAATGTCTATTCGTCTTATGCGGAAGAGGGTGCTGCTCTATTCGGTGTTTTTTCCGTAGAACACTCACTCCCACCCGGCAACAGGGGGACGTGAGTACTCCACATCAACCAGATCCACGCCCACAATGCAACAGGGGGACGTGAGTACTTGACAGGCAGCACCTAGATCCATCAAAGCAGCAACTAGGTCCGTTAAATAGGCAACGAGATCCATACAAACAGCAGTATCCATTCCAAAAAAGCACCAACCATAAAAAATCAACACGATCTGTCCATAAAACAGAAAACCCATAAACCGAAAACCAGTAATAAACCTGAAACAAACCCTCAAACAAGGTCCATTCAAAAGTGAAAAAGATCCACAAGACAGTAAACAAGATTCAAAATGCAGCAAGCGATCGATTATACGGAAAACGGTCGATAAATGATTTACCGAACATGAACAGGATTTCAGCAAGAAGAGCCTGCGGGAAGAAAAAGTCGACCGTCCAACTCGGGCGCGGTGTGCTCCACGTCCCCGCAACCCTTCCACCCTGGCTCCTTCCTGTAAGATTATTGTGTCAAGGCAAGGGATATCTAATGGTCGATGAGGGGTGTACCCTCGAATACACTAGTACCTCCAGCCAGAGATGAGATGGTGAGAATAGGAGTACCCGCGGTCGATGGGGCGTTTGTCTCCTTGTGCTAAAACAAGAACCTCCCATCAGAGATAAGCGGGTTGGCAGAGGATTCGTTCCTCACTCCCACGGCATCTCCCGTCCGAGGAGCTTATAGAGGCGCTCGTTGTGTGGCCGGTACCACTCCTGCAACACTCGCTGGTCCTCGAGCATCTTTTGGTACCTTTCGCGGCCGCGGGGGGGGGGGGGGGGGGGGGGGGGGAACCCCAAACGGGGGATCCCGGAACCTTTCCCCCCCCCGGGGGGGGGGGGGGCATTTTTTCCCCCCCTCCCCCGGGGGGGGAAAAAAAAACGAAAAAAAGGGGGAAAAAAAATTTTTTGGTTAAAAAAGGGAAAACTTTTCCCCCAGCCCCCCCGGAAAAAATTTTTTTTAAGGGGCAGGGGGGTTTTTTAAAATTTTTTTTCCCCAAAAAAAGGGGGGGCCCAAAAAAGGGAAACCTTTTAATCCCCCCCCCCCCAAAAA